TGTAGGAGTCTTGATTGAGGTCTCGAACTGAGGCGATGGAGGACCCGAATCGGGCGTTCTGGTAACTGTGGGAATCCTTCAGCGTTCCGTTGTAAACAAACCGGCTCTGCAAAGCCAGGGCCAGGCAGCGTCTCAGGGGAACTTGGCAAGGCCTTAGGGTCATGATTCTCTCCGCCTGCTGCCGGGCATCCTCTCTCTGCTCCATTTCCCCAGAATCCCCTCTCTCGTTACGTGAGCCCAGCGACAGAGAGGTTCCTATTTTCCCCTGGCCTGGCCCCAGCAGGCGGGCACTGGCCTCTTAGAAACCCATTTCCCTCGTGGTCGGAGCAGTGCTCAGGTGCCCCTGAGACGCTGCATGGCCCTGCCCAGCCATACCTGTCTCAGGTCATAGACGTACACCTTGCCTCGCTCGCGGCCCTCGCTGAAGTACATGGGTGCACCCACCAGCAGGACATCGGTCACACCGTCGCCATTGATGTCCACCGAGGTGATCTCGCTCCCAAAGTAAGAGCCTATCTGCGGCACATGACGGGAGAGGGGAGTGGGCTGGCTGCCCCCCGGCACAGCTGAGAGCCCTTGCCTCGCCCGAGGGGGAAGCCAAGGGCATCCTTCGACTCAAGTTTCGGTGAACAAATGGGTCCTCCCTTCCCGTGCCCTCCCTCTCTCTCCCTCCCCTGGAGCGGACGTGCTGTTTCCAGTTGTCCTTGTCCCTCCTTCTCCTTCTGTTGCTCATCCCCTCCCCCACTCTTCTTTCTTTCCATTATTTAACTTCATCCTGTTTGTAAGTGATACATTATAATGGCAAAAATAAGGAAAATATTAAAAAAATAAAGAAGAAAACAAGTTAACCATAGTCTTAACACCCAAATATAACCATTATTAATGTTTTAGTGTATTTTCTTCTAGTCTTTTTTCCTGAGGTGTGTTGCCTATGTGCGCACGTGTGTGTGTATGTGTTCTTAGTTTTATAAGTTGGGATCATAATATCTGCATAGTTTATATACTAATTTTTTAATAAACAATGTATCACGAGCATTTCTCCATGACGTATATTTTCTCTACAACATAGTCATGGTGATTCCATGATACTCCAAAGTACGCATGTACCATGATGTATTTAATCAATCCTCTATTGTTGGACAGTTCGCTCGTTTCCATTTTTTTTGAGACAGGGTCTTGCTCTGTCGCCCTGGGTAGAGTGCAGTGGCGTCATCATAGCTCACTGCAGTCTCCAACTCCTGGGCTCCAGTGATCCTCCTGCCTCAGCCTTCTGAGTAGCTGTGACTATAGGCACATGCCACCATGCCTGGCTAAGTTTTTCATTTTTGGTAGAGACAGGGTCTTGCTCTTGCTCAGGCTGGTTCGTTTTCAATTTTTAATATTAGAAATCACTTTGGGATTAGTGTCTTTGATGGCAAGTTACGATTTCTTTCAGTGCCTGTGCACTTGCTGTGTCCCTCTCCTGCCCAGGGTGCAGTGCTCCTCACTTTGGTGACAGCACCATTCACCCCCTCACCAGAAACCTGAAGGTCCTCCGCGGCTCTACCCTCCACTTCTCTGCCAGCAAACCCACCAGCAAGTCCTGCCTGATGCGTGCCGACGCCATCTGCTCCCGGCTGCTTCTTCCCCAGGCTTCCTCCCAGCCTCAGGCTGGCCCCTCCAACACATTCCCACGACAGCCACGGTGGCCTCTAACAGCTGACCATGCCCCCACCTTGCTTTAGGGATAGAGTCTAAACTCTCCAGTGTGACCCTGCTAGACCAACCTCCCTCCCCAGCCTCTGTCCCCACAACCCTGCTCCCAACGCTGCACTCCTGGCTCCTGCCAAACCCAGTTTTTTCTCTTCTCCAAAAGCTCTAGTTACTTAATTGATGCTTATTGGATCACTGGGTTGCTTAGGAAAGAGGAAGTCACCCTGCCCACCTGGGTGAGATGCTCTACAGCCTTAGGTTAGCACGTGAGCCCCGTGCTCTTAGGAGATAGTCGTCCTCATTTTACAGGGAAGAAGCTGAAACTCAGAGAATGGGAGCTGCTTGCCCAAGGTCAGAAGGCTGGTCACCGCCAGGCTGCTTGGAACTCAGGTCTGACACCCCTGCCCATGGCTCTCCCTCCCCCAACCATCTGCTGGCTCAGAGTGTTTTCAGAAGAAATCTATACTCCAGCACTAACAACTTTTAACTAAGGAGAAAGATAAAAAGAAACCAGAAGAGAGAAAAACGGAATAATATGCACAGGGCAGGGAGAGGGAAGAGATGTGCCTATGTAAAGTAATTAAGAGGCAGACCGGGAGCGAGGAAGGGAGGAGGGAGGGAGACATTTGTCTAAATATGTGGCCTCAGCTATGTGGGTCACTGAGATTTGGAATCCACTTAATTTAGCTGCCTTCAGCACTGCGGTTTTTCGTTCGGATGTTGGAGGCGGAGCTGGGCAGGAAAAATGTCATAAATTCATCAGCAAATTCCCTCCAGCTCTCAAGGTCTAGCCTTGGATTCCCAGGAGAGCTGGCCCTGGGCGGAGCGTGGATGAGCAGGGCGGAGGCTGAGAGCCCAGCCACCTGGGTCAGTCGGCATCATGAGACAGGAGGAGGAATAGCAGCATGGTGGCACTCTGCAGTAAGGGGGATGGCAGGCTAGACGCGGGGAGGAACAGGTTCTCACAGTGCCCGGCCAAGGGCAGGAGGAGATGCAGGGGCCAGGGCTGTCCCAGGCTCAGCAGAGCCAAAGGGAGCTGGAGACGACTGGGAGGGGCCCAGACAGCGCTCAGCTTGGCACCAGCTTCATGGATGCTGCTAGTCAGGAGGAGCTGAAGCCTGGTTTGGGGGTCAGGAAGTGGCATCGTACAAGAGAGTGCCACCGAGAGGCCTGGGTTCTCAACTCGACCCAAACCACAAATCCATCCTAAAAGAGCCACGTTGCTTCCCTGGGCCCCAGTTCTCGGCCGTTGAAATGACTTGGATTGGAAGCCTGATTTCTCCACCAGTGACTCTTATCACAGCGTTCCAATTTGCATTCGTCACTGTCCGACACGAGACTCTTAGCAGCACAGTCTGCCAACCGCATCCCTGCGGGGCAGTGGCACAGGCAGGTTCCCATTCTGCATTGTCACCATTCCGGGGGAAGGGGCCCCTGGGGCCTTCTGTGGGTGGATGCATAACTCTAGCGGCTGCCTCCAGGCCTGCCTGTGTTCCCTGCCCTTCCCGTCTGCCGGCCCGCCCGCCCCAGCCTCCCCCTCCGTTACCTGCTCGCCCCGCAGAGCCTGGTGGATGGTGAGGCTCCTGTTGCTGTGCATGGTGAACAGGATGACTTTGCCCGTGTGGTTGAACCGGGGGGCTCCAGCCACGTACACCCGCCCCTGCCTGGAGGACACGACCGATGTGACTGTGTACCCTGCCACAGGAGGAAACAGGCTGGTCTCTGGTGCTGCATCCTCAGCAGGTCTTGCCAGGGCCCAGCTGGTGGCTCAGCCGTGCGGAGGCTGCACCGGTGATGGGGCGGCTGCAGGGCTGGCTGAGCAGGTGCAGCAATTGCCTGGGATGGGGGGGAGGCCCGGGAGAGGCAGGGCCCAGGAGAGGGGTCTGGCGGGTGGGGAGGCCTCACTGCACCCCACCCCATGCTGGAGACAATAAAGGAAGCCAGGTGGGGCCGCTAAAGACGTTACTGACTTGAAACGTACACATCCCTCTGTTGCCGCTCACGAGCAAGGCGGAGCAGGGAGCAAGGAGCTGGGCCACCTCCAGCCACACTCCATCTGTGTGGCAGACTTCGTTTTCCATCCCCACCAATCTCCACTCCCGGGGCCGACCAGCATCCCCTTCAATACCACAAAGCCCTGCTAAGTGGCTCACTGGTGACTGGAGTGTTAGCTGCGAAGGCGGAAGGAGTTGCTGCGCTCCGCACATTTGCACAGGGTCTTAGGGATCCCTGTAGCCCCAGAGCTTTGAAGACCCCAAGGAGGAAGCTCCCAGGCTCCTCTCAGTCCCCACATATGCCACGCAAACGAGGAAGAAATGGAAACCAAGGGGCTCAGGACACCAAAGAGCTCTTTTGAAAAGGCTGCCGATGCCCCTGTGTCGCTGTGCTCCATCACCGTGAATCTTGAGTCTCCCACCCGGCACCCAGGAGGTGAATGTCTGGCACCCCCAGTCACTGTCCTGAAAGTGGGGTCCCAGCAGGTGTTCGAGGCCCACGGCATCCCAGAGTCCCACTTCCTGCCGGACGATCTTGGATACTGGATCCCAGATTTCACATGGGCGCTGGGCCTTGTTGACGGTTCCTGGGGAACAGATGTCTCTTTCTGCTGCGTGCATGTGTCAATTCGTGTGTGCACGATGTGCGTGTACACGTGTGTGTGACACTGTCACTCAGGTCCTACCAGCTGCTTCCAGAGTGGCTGCAGGAGGCGCAGATTCAGTGCCTGGCCGTGTGGGGTGCAGTAGGATGGCCTACTCTGGTTCCATTTCTGACTCTCAGCAGTTTGTTCTGGGAAATGGGGCTTGATGGGTCTGTCGGGTCAGGACCTTGCACAGAGGGTGGCTAACATGGCCCTGTATTTAGGGCCACCATAAATATACGGAAGTGGGGTGGAATTAGCTTTGCGGTATGTAGCAAAAATTTCTTCTGAGCTGTGCCCTCAGTGGCACTGCTGAGAATGTTCTCAGTTGGCCTCGGGCTTTTGGCTTCCTCAGAAGGAGGGACACTGGGCAGCCCTGGCAGTGCTGTGGCCGGCTCTCAAAGCCCATGGGGCTTCCTGCTTCCCAGCCATCGGCTGGCTGTGCCCTCCGTTCCCAGGTGGCCCTGTGGCCAGCAGGAGGGGCCGTTCCAAAGCTGGGCCAACCAGCCTCCCTGAGGCCTGATGAGACAGTGGGCAGAGCCCGGCCAGAAGTCCTTACTGCTTCCTCAGGGCTGGGCCTCCCGGTCTCCTCCCCCGTAGCTCCCTCTCTCCCTGGGATACGTGGGGAGGACTCTTCCAGCAGGGATCTCTGCCCCCGCAGAGAACCCAGACGTGGCCCTCACTGGATGACTCCCAGAGGGTGGAGGCACTCCCTCGGGACCCCTCAAGGCGGTGACTGTGGTTAAGACGGGACAGCTGGGCCTCATGAGCGTCCTTGAGCCTGGCTCCACCCTGCCAGAGTCTTCTGGGAGGAGAAGGAGGCCAGCTCTGCTAGGCAGGGGGGATAGTCATCCTGCTGCACCCTCACTCAGATACCTTCAATAGCTCCTCATTGCCAACATGAAAAAGCTCAAACCCCTTAGCCTGGCATTCAAGGTCTCCTGTTGCATCAGCCCTAACCTGCCTTCCCCTCCCTGGCCCCACTCCTCCCCCGTGCTCCATCCATACTGGTCTACTTCCCAGGTCCTGAAATCGCCGGGCACTTTCCACACCTCCCTCCTTTGCTGGGCCCTTCTTGGCTTATTCAAAACTTTCCCTGTCTTGGAGACCTGGCGTGGGCTCCTCCACAGTGCGTCCAGAGCGTGCCAGCCTTCTGGACCACGGCCACCCACGCCATTTCTCTCCCCCTCTCGGAATTAACGCATGGGGCCCTGGGACATTGCTGGCGTGATCTGCCTTGCTGGTTCATGCCTCGTGGCACCTGTGCCTTGCACCCCTTCCTTGGTTTCCTCACTTTTAGTGCAGCGCTGCACACTTGGGGGGCACACAACAGGACACTATCGATTCCAGTCAAAGGGGTGCTGGCCATCGTCCTTCTGACATCTTTCCTAGTGTTTGAGCATCTGCCAAGGCAAGGACCCCAACCCCTGCCCCCTTTCTTTGTGCTTTTATCTAAGCCCTTACCTCACTGTGTTGTAATCATCTGTGCACACGTCTCTGTCCCCTACTGGCCGGGAAGCAGCCTGACGGCAGGGGCTGTGTCCTGCTCACCATTGCACTCTGATGGCACTCGCCACACAGTCCAGATTTAACACCTTGTGAATTATATGGAACCCAGGCCCTAGGGCCAGGTGCTGTTGGGAAATTTCTTGGGATCTACACCTGTGCATTTTCCAGGACAGTCCCAATTCCAGCATTTTGCCCTGTTGTCAGTGGAGAGTCTCAAAGTTGGGGTGGGAAAATGGGGTAACTGTAGTGTGGGCAGCGTCACAGGCAGGGCGTGTGGCTGAAGAGGCGAGGGACAAAGGTGGGGATGGGATGAAGCGCCTGTGTAGCCGGGCATGGTGCTGGGGGTGGCGGATGCCAGGCTGGAGAGGAAATGGCCCCCGGGTTGCTCTGCAGGGCCCCGTGCCTGTGTGCACTGCAAGTTCTGCAGCCCCGGGTCCCCTCCTTGCCCATGGCCACCCCCTCCCTCGCTCCGGGCTCTTACCCAGGTATGCACCGTGGTTCTTGAGCTCCTCGGGGAACTCTTTCAGGTAGGACTCGCGGTGAGGAATGACCTTCCCGCCGCTTGTTTCCTTTAGCACAGCTCCGTTCCAGTCATAGGCGCCAACAGCTCCCAGCAGAATCCCGTCCTGGCATTGGGCAAGGGACACGTATCAGCTCCTGTTCCCACTGGCCCCTCGCTGGGAGCCACACCAGGTCCTGCGATCAGTGAAGCATCTGCCAGCAACTGTGGGCACCTTCTCCTGGGGTCACTATCGAGCAACCCAGCTTCCAGCCCGGGCTCTAGGCTTTCAAATGATACAAGGAGACCCTCTCACCCCATCCCAGCCTCAGCACAGAACAGGTTAAGCTGATCCCGAGGACAGGAATTTAGGAAAAAAGGAATGTTCTAGAAACTAACTCCCAATCCAGAGTCAAACCTCCATTCATCCTTGGGCTTTGAAACCCTCTAGGAACTCTCTGGTCACCATCCCCTCCTTCCAACACTCCTTCCAGCTGTGGCCTGTACTTGTACTCCTTCGATGTCCCCTTGCCGTGTCCGAGTTGCTTCCCTGTGGGTAAACCCTACTCCCTCTTCATTTCTTCAGCAAATATTCACTGAGGTCTACTTTGTGCCAGGTACTTGCTTGGTGCTGGGGATACTGCCCCTGCCCTCACAGAGCTCGGAGATACTAACACATAAACAAACACGCAATTGCACATAACCAGTTTGCAAACTGCGATAAATGCAATCAGGGAAAACCATGGGGAGCTGTAATTTTGATGGCAATGGGGGTCAGGGAGAGGCTTTTTGAAGAAGTGATGTTTCCCCAGACACCTGAAAGCTGGGTCGGGCAGGCAGTGGAAGTGCTGGAGAGAGGCCAGAGCCTTTGATTCCAAGGAACTGAGCACTGTTTGGTGGGGCTGTAGCGCTGAGTAAGAGGGGCAGAGAGGGTGGGTATGAGGCTGGACAGATACGCCAGGGCCACGCCCCGAGGACGGGGGCTTGTTTCTCAGGGCTTGGAGGGTGTTGTTGTACCCACACATTGCAGGAGAAGTGATGCTGCAAAGCTTGGCAGGAAGACAGGAAGCTCCAGCTCCCCGAGGGGAAGTTTCCATGTACTGACTGCTCGGCTATTCCCTGAGGACCGGGTCCACTCACTCTCGGGGCTGCCCCTGCACCCCAGCCCCAGCTTAGACAACCCACGTGAATAGTGGGTACAGGAAGACAAACAGCAAGCACTTAGAGGAGGAAGAAAGTTACCAGGGGCAGTGAGGGGCCCAAGGAAGGTGGTGGAAGCAGGGCAGGGCCACCTTCCTGGATTGCCTTGGTGATGACGGGGCTGGGGGCAGATTGTCTGTATCCCAGCTTTGGGCTTTTAAAGCACAAGCAGTAAAGTCACGTCTCTAAGCCCTCCCTGAACCCAGCTGGCTGGCTGGGTTTGAGGTTCCCCACCACTGTAAAGAGTAAAGCTGATCTTATCAAAGGGTTAAAAAGTCCTGACCCTCTAGAGGTGGAACTGACTGTTCAGACAGAATGTTTTTACCACTGTAAATAAGCTGGTCTTGGGAGAGGCTGCGCCTTTGGTTATGTTTAACATCGCACTTTCTAATTAGCCTACTTCCTCCCCCTTTGTGCTTCAGCCTCAGCCTAGGAGGCTCTGACAGTCTGTCGGGGCCAGGACTGGAGCCAGGGACTCAGATACGCGCTGTCCGCAAAGTCACCACCGACATTCCTTGCACCCGGGTGTGCTCCGTTCTTTCTGCAGTGCTTTCTCACCCAGCCCCCTACATGGGCTTACAAAGGCCCCGTGAAGCCAGAAGACACAGGTTCTCAATCTGCATTTGACAAATCAACATCTGAGGTTCAGAGAGGGGAAGGGACTTGCCCAAGGTGACACAGCAAGTCAGAGGAGTGGCTTGGCCTTTGACCGTGGAGGTGGGTTGGACAGAGAAGAAAATATCCACCTGTTTTCCCAAAACCCAGTGTGGCTCCTGCTTCCAGTTTCCCACCTGAACCCCCTCTGGGAGGAGCACTGTCTGGGCTTGCTTTTCCCCCTTCCTCCCTCTCTGCCTGCTGAGTCCAAGTGTGTAAGTGCAGACCAGGCTTCTCCGCTTCATGGAGAGGCCTTCGAAGATGAATTTTTGGCTCTGCAGGTGACGGGGGGGCCTCTGCGGTGTACGGAGAAGGGCTGGTTCAGCCCAGGTGCCTGGGATTTGGCTGTGGAGACCCCTCATGCTGACTCCCCACAAGCAGGGCGGGTTGGGAATTCCTTTGGGACGTCTGGATCTGGCCGCGCTGGGCTGAGGGGTCGCTCCCGGTCCCTGACCGGTGCCACTTTAACCCTGGCAGCAGCTGCAGCCTTGTGCCCTCAGTGGGAGGCTCTTTCCCCAGAGTGGGTTTGTCGGGGTTACGGGGCACCTCCCTGAGGACAGGGGCACCGTGCGGAGTGGGCAAGTCGAGGCCACCAAAGCAGACCTCAGCATGCCACAAACTTGTCCCAGCTGGAGGAGCCCAGACATTTTGAGTTTGGGAAAAATCTGGCAGGGCGGGGCAAAAACAAGAGGGCCAGAGCCCTGACGGGGGAAGCCAGGCATGTGGGCCCAGGGAAACAAACAGAGGGCATTCTGGGGCAAAGCTGCGTCCCATGCGCTGCAGGCCTGGCGTGGTCTCCCTGAGTTATGGCCTCCTTTCCTGGGGCCACCCGAGCCCCCACCAGATATCACCAGGGTGTGCCTGGGTGGCCTTGCATGGATGGCCTTTCGCACGAGCCAATTTTCCTGGCACTCCACGCAGACATGAAGTCGGTCGCAGACTTGGTAGCTGTCAGAAGGTCTGAGGCCAACTGCGTCCTCCCCCAGGACATCGTGACTCTACCTACTGGAGTGCGTGTAGCACCCACCGTCAGATCCTGCCAGCTCAGCTCTCAGCTGCCCTCTGACCTGGCCCCTGCACCCATCTGCTGAATGCTCCCTGGGTGTGTGACCCTGTCTCCCAAAGTTCCGTGTTCTGGCCAGTCCGTGTCTAAGCCAGGGTTAGGCCACAGCCGCGGCACTGGAGGCAGCATGGTTAGGGCAGTGGTTCTCAATGGGGGGTGGTTTCGCCTCCCAGGTGGTGTTTGGCAATGCCTGCAGAGACTTTTGGTTGTCATAGTTGGGCAGGTGGTGGGGGTGCTACTGGCACCGAGCGGGTAGAGGCCAGGGATGCTGAGAAACTTCCTGCAATGCACAGGACAGCCCCACGACAAAGGGTTATCCAGCCCCAAATGTCACCAGGGCTGAGGTGGAGAATCCCTGGTCTAGTGGTTAGAGCATTACAGCGTGAACTCTAGGGCCAGACATTCCTGAGCTCTGTTTCCAGCTCCAAAGTTTCTAGATGTGCGATCTTGGGCAAATTTCTCTCTGTCTCTGAGCCTCGGATTCCTCGGCTGTAAGATAGTTTTGCTGTGAGAGTTAGCATTTTTAATTCTTAGCACGCTGTTTGCAGCCAACAAGTACTTGGTACGTGGTAGCTGTGCTCGTTCGTGAGTTCACCCATAAAGCATCTCCCAGGAAGGCCAGGGGTTAAAGAAGAACGAGATCCCAGAGTCAGGTTTGTCATTTCGATAGCATGTGAGAAGTGCTCCGATGGAGTCAAGGACAGGCTGTTTTGGGAGTCCCGGGAGGAAGTGACCTGCTGAGCGAGGGGGCGAGTGTGTAGTGGGTTAGGGAAGGATCGTAAGAAAATCTCACTTGATTTATTAGTAAGTCTCAAAATGTACACTTCCAGTTCCAGGCCTCAAGATTCAATTTTGCAAATATTTTCCAGATATCTACTCAAATCTGAAGTTCAGAGAGGTTAGATGATTTGTCTGAGCCCACACAGCCAGGCAGTGCTCTCCTCTTGCCCGGCAGTAATGGAATTAGGGTACCAGATGCCAGCATTTCTTCCTTCCAGCTCTTCTTGGCTTTTTCAAGGAAAGACTGAGGAGCAGGTGCAAGGAGCTGCTGGTGGTCCCGTGGGCTAGTGTGATGGGAGACCCCCTAGAGGGCACCGAGGCTGTCCTCCTCCTCCAGACTCCCGTATAGTGACTGCAGAGGGGCGCGACTCTGTGCCCAAGAGCCCCTCCTAAGGCAAGTACCATATTTACAGGGTGGATTATGCTCTCTCTAGCTGCTCCAATTCTGTCCTTAGAAGCCTTGTTTCGACAGGCTTAAAGTGGAGCTGAGCAAGTGATGCATGGCCAGGAGGTTTGGGGGGGGTGTGGGCAGGAAAGGCCCAGAAGTGGGCCCTCAGCCCTTCCGTGGACAGGAGGCCCTCGCCGTGGGCCGTGCTGGAAGCAGTGGCTGGGGTGGGGGCAGGGGGCACAGTGCACTGACTCTCATTCCAGATCAGAGGGTTGGTTGTCTCTGGGCAGGGGTCCTGGGAGTGAGGCCCAGGAGTGGAGTGCTGGGCACCAGGGCACATTCTGAGGATGTGGGCCTGGGCTTAGGAGGACCCAAATGAACCGGAAATGATTCCTGCCACCAGGAGTCAACTTGCAAACCATCTGGAACAGCATGCCAGGAGACCCCATCTACCATGGCCTGGCCTCCTGGAGGGGGGGCCAGGGGACAGCTTTGCCTGCCTGCCCAAGCTGGCAGGTGGAGGAGTCCACTGTCTAGGGCTATGGGGGTTCAGGAGGGGTTTACAGCCTCCAGAGATCAACTCTGCAGTTTGCCATTATGCGTCAGTTTCTCTCATTTTTCTTCCTTGAGACAGCTTCTCACTCTGTCGCCCTGACTAGAGTGCAGTGGCGTCATCACAAGGCACTGCAATCTCAAACTCCTGGGCTCAAAGCGATCCTCCTGCCTCAGTCTCCCGAGTAGCAGGGACTACAGGTGTGTGCCACGACACCCAGCTAATTTTTCTATTTTTTGTAGAGACGGAGTCTCAATCTTCCTCAGACTGGTCTCAACTCCTGACCTCAAGCGATCCTCCCGCCTCAGCCTCCCAGAGTGCTAGAATGACAGGCGTGAGCCACCCCTTCATTTCTGATTGAATCAGATATGCAAAACTAGTTCAAATGCAAAACCCTTCAGGAAGATTATACCTTTAAAGCGTCAACCGCTAAGAACCTTAGAGAATAGCCAATGCCCTTCGCCAGCCGGTCCACAACCCCAGGAGGGCCTGGGAAGGGCGATGGCTGAAGAGGCAGGAGGGTGGCAGGGGCAGCACATTGGGACTGGGAGGCTCCCTGGCCTTCGTTTGTTGCAAAACTGAACGGGTCGCTGGTCCTGTGAGATCACCACGTGCGAGGTGAAAACAGACCTCACCCTTAGGTAAAAGAAAAAACGATCTCTTCCCACCTTGGGTGAGTGACCAAGGTTTTTGTGTAGACAAGATCTACCCTCATAAAGCTGCTTCCTTCTGTAAACTTTTGGAGCTGGGGCTGACTCATGGACTCCAGCGGAGGAGGGTCGGTGAGCAACTCCTCCTGCTGCGTCTGTGTGGGAGGAATTTCTCCGCAGCTGTCCCCCGCGGGCATCCAGCATTCATAGTCCTCCTTCGCCCTCCCCGTCTGCCCTCAGGGCCCGTGGGTATCATAGGCTGTTCGAGTCCACTCCCCTTTTGGAAGTACCGATCCCTTCTATAAGCTTTCTGGCAGAATCACGCAGCTCCTGCTTGATTGCCCAGCTTGACAGGGAGTTCACCACCCCAGCAGGCAGCCAGCACTCACAGAAGCCACTCTGGCTCTTAGTGACCTTTGCATTCATTTCCAAATGCTAATGGAACCATTGGCTTAAAAATCCATTCTAAAGTCTCGCCAGGGATCCATAGCTAGCCTTCCTGATGGTAATTTTTGGAATATTCTCTTTCCCCTTTCTATATCAAGACTAGTTTCCAGCTTCCTAGTTTCCCAGTGGTTCTGACCTTCTGCCATCAGCCTTGTGGCCTGGGGCCTTGGACTCTGGAGCTGTCCAGGTGATGTCTTGGGGCCTCCTCTCTACCCTGGGCTCTTGTCACTCCTTTCTCTTGTTGTTTTCACTCTTGCTAATTCCAAGGCTGGTTTCCTCGCTACATAAGATGGCAGCAAACCAGCCAGGCCTTTCTTCTGCCATCTGAGGACATTCTGCTAGAGCTCCTCCCCCAGGGCGAGAGACCTTTCCTTCTACTAGAACCAAACTGGCCCGGGGAAGCTTCAGGCTCCGTCAGCATTTCCAGGCAGCAGCTGTTGGAGGCCATCTGTGTGCACTTTTCTGGTGGGCAGGGCTCCTGCAGGCTCGCCCAGGACTCACTGCTCCCAACCCCTGGAGGGGTCTGGCTGATGCTGAGAGCTGAGGAGGTGGACCCCTGGGGACAGGAGAGCTGTGGCCAATCATGACGGCATCAGTGGCTGGCATTGGAAGACCTCTGTGCTCTCCAATAGCCACCCAATGGCCAGTCACAGAGCCAGACGGCCCGCGCTCATTGCACCATTCCTTTGGATTCGGAAGGTTTTTTTTTGGTTTATTTTTAATACTAAAGCATCTCAGATTCAAATGTGATCACTGTCTCTTTAAAAGTCCTATCAAATGGAAACTTCAGAGTGAAAGAAAAACCAGTGTGTGTGTGGGAAGAGGCAACCTGGCTCCTCTGACTGGGGGAACAGAGGAATTGCTGAGTGCACGTAGAGGAGCTGCACAGGGCAGTCGCGACCTTGACTTGACCTTAGTAACAAACAGGGGCTCTGAGCCCAGGGTCGTCCCACTCTGGAAGCTGAGAACCCCACTGGGCCTGCGAGGGCTCATCTCGCTCAGCACGATGAGCTGCCATTTCCAAGGCTCAGCTCAAGCTTCCCTGAGTCCCCGAAGCCCATCCTAATGTCCCCTTCTTTTCGGGTTCCTCGGTCCCTGGACATACACAGATTGCAGTATTAGAAGTAGGAGAGTGAACTTATTATCTGAGAGTCTCTCTCCCCAGCTAGGCTGTGACCTGCTGTCAGCTGGAATGTTACCTTAGTGTCTATCCTCAGTGCCTGGGACAGAGCCTGATACGTAGGAAAAGATGGCTGTAGGACGGACAAAGGAAACATCAGGACATTCATTTTCTCTCCCTGTCCCTGACATCAGGGCTGGCCTCTGGTCTGCGCCCAGATTTCTCCCAGACTGTGCACACAACTCTCTCCTCTGCTGCTCGCTGCCGCCCATGGCTGCTGAACTCCTTGTCCTCCAGGGTCCCTCTCCAGTGCCACCCCCTCCCCTGAAGAGGCTTTTCTTTCCGTGACACCCTGATCACACGTGGCCTGGGTTAGCATTCTGTGTCGACCTGTCTGCCCCACCCACATTGAGCAGGGTCTCTTCACAGCTCGGGGCCTCCTGTAGCTGCACACTTTTTCCTGGGAGACACCTGCAGTTTCTTCCAGCCTGCCCTCAGCGCTAGGGACTGCTGTTCTACATTGTTTGCAAGTTGACTCCTGGTGGCAAGAATTGTTTCCGGTTCCTTTTGGTACTTTAGTTGCATTTGATAAATGCTTGTTGGATTTAATTAAATTGCGTTTCCTTGTTGCACGTTCTAATCGACTCTGACCCCAGAGTCTAGAGACCTGGGCTGGTCCTGCCGTAGCACATGACTCGCTGCCTGCCCTCATGCAAATGGATGCTGTCTCCTCTCTGTGCCCGGGCTCTCGACCCTCGGACCGTGGGTCCTTAAGGACAGGGCTCTCACCTCTGATTCTCCCAGGGCCCAGCACAGACAAGGTGCTGAAAAGATAGGCTGACCCAAGCACCTAAAGCAGGGTCATTAGCACAGCCTGCTGACCTTGCAGGGCTGTGCCGAGCATGAAATGCGGTGCAGGAATCGCCTGGAACAGTTTAAACTGCTGTGCACATGTAACGGGGCTGTCATCATGAGATGTCATGAGACTGTCATCATCATCATCTTGCTGTATTCAAGACAGAGGCATGAAACTGTCCACATGCAGCTCAGGAACCTCTGAGCATGAGTCACGTTTCTGTCGGCTGCCTGCTGCGTGCTGTGTGTGTGTGTCCCCCTCCCCTTCAATTTGGAATTTCTGACTCAGACCCCCTGAGCTCCCTGGTCCTGCTTTCTCATGGAGCAGCTGCTTGGTGTAGAGGGAAGAGTGTGAGCCTAATCTTTTTCACACTAATCTGTCTTCAGCAGGTCTCCTAACCTTCTCATGACTCAATTTCTTTATTTGTGACCTGGGAACAAGGAATCCTGCCCCATGCGCCTCACAGAAGAGTTAGAAAAGTGCAGTGGGATGATGAAAGGGATATATAACTACGGTGGGCTAGCAGGCCTTTTCTGGCAGATTAGGAGGCATAAGTACACCCCTGTGGCGCCAGCCGAGGCAGAGCACACACACGCACCTGGGACAACCGTCCGTCTACAGCACACCCACGGGAGCACGTACTGATACTGACACACCGTCGGTATGTTTCCCCATATGGGACTTTACAGTTTTATAAACAAGGCAAGACTTTACAGTTTATAAAGTATTTTCACAGACATCAACTCCCTGGTCTCTGACAAGCCTGTGAGGCCTCAGCCCCATCTTACGAGCCAGCACCAGGTGAAGCACGTGGAAGGTGAGTGACTCAGAGTCCCAGATACCACGTGCTGCTGTGACACCACGTGCCCCTCCCTCTGTGGGCTAGGACCCCCTGACTTCTGCAATCTGACGCAGAGTCTGCACAGAGAGGGGGACCACACGGGCCACCTGCCAGAGCGTAGCTGGGACACCTGGACAGCCTCCCAACATTGACACGGGGATGTGCCCCATGCCGGGGCATGCCCAGGCCTCCTTGGGCACTGGCGCTGTCAGAGATACGTGCCCTTGGTTTTGCCGCCCGGCCTAATTTTTGTGCAGGGCTCTGTAGACTGAATGGGACCCTTGGTCCTGGAGGGGGAAATGTCCCCCTCAGCACCTGCACAGTGAGGGTCACCAAGCACCTTCCAGGTGGGTCTGTGGGTTTGTTATTTGCAGTCCACTCACTTCTGTAGAGGGCTTGAGACAACATGAATAAGTGGCAGCCCTGGAACATGGGAGGCAGAGAGACCCCAAGAAAGAGAGGAAGCGAGGGAAGGAGCCAGCCCATTCATGAAGGTGGGAGGGCAGATCCGGCACGCTGGAGCGGGGAAGAGCATGCATGCGAGAGACAGAGGGTGGCTGTAAACCTGTACCTCCACCACGTGCGAGGAAAAGCCTGTCTGGGACATCTCCAGCCCAAAGGAGGTTTCATTCTTGTTGGTGCCTACGGCAGAGGGACAGAAAGGCGTTAGCTTTCCGCTCGTTGCTTGGTGCCAGACAGACCTGCAGCCCCACCGCAGCTGCTGTGTCCCGGGGCGTCGTCAGGAGGCAGGGCTATCTGCCGGGGGTTCTGAGGCTGGGGCCGGTCCTGCGCAGCCTCGTCTGCCCTCCCCAGCGTCCTGCGCAGTGAGGGGCGCAAAGCACCTTCCAGGGGGCCACGTGGGTTTATGATTAGCAGCCCGCTCACTTCTGAGAAGGGTTCGGGACAGTTTTACTGCAGGGCATGCACGCTGCAAGACTGCTAACATGGGGGAGATCAAGAAACCTGCATGGGAATAAACAGTGTGCATTTCTGGCAAGAAACGGAATTTCCCACTTTGTTCATTCCTTTCATTCACCAGATTTGGTCCCAGGTGCCTTTGGGTGGTTCCCAGACATCAGATCGACCCTCCAGGGACAGCTGTCACCACTGCAGATTTGCAGAAGAAATCCCACGTGTGGGGAAAGCCTCTCCCCACAGAGGGGTGCCCTGAACATCACCCAAGGCGACCGTTTCAAGGAGAAATGCACGCATTGGGATATTTAAGTTCTGTGTGGGTGCCGGAGCTCATGTTCACACTTTGTGTTCATCTACCCTTGATTACGAGGGCCATTCTTGTCTCTTTTTAGGTGTCTGTAGTTCACCATTTCCAGTGCACTGCAGACTTCTCGGGCTTTGGGATGCTGCTTCTGTTTCTTTTTATAATCCTCCATGTACACGAAGCCCTCTATTGGAGGGGCCCGCTATAACAATATACGGTGCAAAAGAGATCTATGCAAATCAAAAATGGAGTTTAAATCACAAGCAGGGAGGCATTCTGAAGGAACCCCGCAAGAAAATGCTTTCGGTGGAGTGGGAGGCAGCGGGGCGTGGGGTTGAGGGTTTCAGACTATGGAGTCAGGCCCAGCTGGGTTCAAACTAGGGTTGCCAGATAAAATATAATTGAATTTGAATTTCAGACAATGAATAATATTTTGTAGTAAGTCTGCCACAAATATTGTTATTTTATTTTTGATACATCTGGCAACCCTCGTTCAAAGCCCACCACTTTCCCAGGCTGCGGGAGCTTTGGCAGGGCACTCCTTGGAGCTTCGCTTTCCTCAGTGGTAGAATGAGAATATCAGCAAAACTGTCTTTCAGCGTTATGCATAAAGTGCGTCCAGCACGGAGTAACACTCAGTCGTTGGCATTTGCTATCAAGGGAGGGCGCGTGCTGAGCCATTCCATTCTGTGGGGTTGGGTTTCGCTCTATGGGGTTTACTTGAGGCAAGCCCAGGAGAGCAGACCCCTCCCGGCATGCACTGCTCACCTTCCAGGCTGAAGATCCTGTCCCCCAGGGCATCCACAATGTCCTTTAGGGCCGCCTCATCGGTGACGTTGAAGAAGTGCTTGTCATCAGGGTCGCTGGCGATGTATTTGATTTCATTTAGAAAAGTTTCTGGATTGATCCCCCTGCGGTTGTAGTAGCCCAGGACCTGCCGGGGAACAGCGGCAGGAATGACAAACCAGAACAGGGCGCAGACCTCCCCACACACCCCGTGCGCCGTGACTGCTTTTGGTCGTCACGGGTGCTCCTCGAGGTGCCACCGCATTTTCAAACAGCCTGTTTTAGGGCAAGATAAGGCACCTGTGCTAAGCTGGCGTTCTGGGAGTGGGGAGGCTTGGGGGTGTTTTTTAGTTTTCTGAGGTTTCAGAACCTTCCTGGGAACGGAGGGGAAAAAAACCCAACAAACCCACAACTTTTGTGGGTAGGCCGGAGCAGTGCAGAAAGAAGATTCTCAGCTCGTTCTTTAGAAGAGGATGAAACGAGAAGCCCATTTGCGGGTCTGGACACTCAGTACACTGCCTGGAAAACACCCTCTTGGAGGCCCCAGGGTCTGACGGCAAAGTCTTGGGGGTATCCCGCAGCCCTTGGGCAGGGCGGGACTCACAGCCACAGCGTATCTGGTCACGTTGTCCCTCTCGCTCTGCTGGATCACCTTCTCCAGGTCCGGGCTGTCGTGGGACTCCCCGTCCGTGATGACAATCATCACCTTCTTGGCCCCTTTCCTTCCGCCCTTCTGGAAAGCCTCTGAGCTGGAACCCAAGCACAGGCAGGGCCGTGAGAAGGAAGTGGATAGGGGGCGGCCCCAATGTTCCTCCAGAGGGACAGCACAGACACCAGGACCGAGTCCCCCTTGGGCCACCCAACAGGTATTAGAACCTTGTACCAAAGACGTAGCTGGATTGAGATGACCCGGCTACTCTTTCACCGGCTGCTAAGATGGGTCTTGGATTTGTTGTCTTTAAAAAGTGACTTTAAAAAGCCCTGTCGGAGTCCTGACCTTGCAGTTTTGGACAGGGTGAAGGGGTGAGGTGGACCTGGGAGGGGAGTTCAAGGGCAGATGGCGACCTTTAGAGGAGCTAAGCTACTGGTTCAAAAAACCAGCTGCACATTAGAACTCTTGGGGGAGTTTTCAAAAAATATTGGCCAAGTGCAGTGGCTCATGCCTGTAATCCCAGCACTTTGGGGGGCTGAGGCAGGAGGATCGCTTGAGGCCAGGAGTTCAAGACCAGCTAGTTAACATAGCAAGACCCCATCCCTACCAAAAATTTAAAAATTAGCTGGGTGTGGTGGCATGTGTCTCTAGTCCCAGCTGCTCTGGAGGCTGAGGCAGGTGGATCGCTTGAGTCCAGGAGTTTGAAGTTACAGTGAGCTGTGATGATGCCACTGCACTCCAGCCTGGGCAACATAGCAAGACCCTGTCTCAAAAAGAAAAATAAAATTGATGTCTAGGCCCCACCATGACCTATGAAATCAGAATCTCTGGAGAGGGCTGGGGAGGGTGGCCTGGGCATCAGTATTTTTCAAAAGTTCTAATGAGCACCCAGAGTTGAGAACCACTTTCCTAAGTACTGAAAAGGTGACGTGCCAGGGTGATTCAACATCCAAACACTAACCCATAAAATACATGTGACAGAGCTGACAAAATTCTGACTTCTCCCATGAGGGCTACTTTGATCCTATTTGGGGAAATATTAAATATCAAATTCCATGAAAAATATTTCTTTCTCACTTTTTATTTTGTTTTTCAGTGTCCGAAGCATGAGCTTGGCCCACCTGTTGGGCCATCCAGCCCGGGTGACGGCAGTGGCGCAGTGACCCTCAACATGGCAGGGAAGCTCTTGCAGCTGGCCATTGGGCTGCAGAGAGTGAAAAGCCACCACTGGCCCTGCGTGCCCCTGTGGCCAGCCCTCCTTTGGACCATGAGGTTCTGAGAAGCACAGAATGGTCTCACCCAAGAGTCTGGCGCAGCGGGTAGAAATTTCCAATAAGGATCTAAAAATAAATGTTACTCTTAGACCCCACGGTCATTCTTCCTGGGTCCACCCATGGCATGGCAGGACAGCCCACGGATTTAAGCTCCACAGTGACAGGTTAAAGGGCCACAAGGCTTTGGTTACCATAGGTATTTCTTGTTACATGGCACGCTGATGAGCTGATCAGTGATGTGCATGATTTACATGTTGAGGAATTCACAAAACCTGGAATAAATTAGTTCGGAACATCTTCAAGCTACCAGTGAAGAGAAAAAACCATCTACCATTCTCTTAGCAGTGCTATGATAGTCTGGATATGTTGACTTAAAAAAACCCTTTAATTTTAGTACGAGCTGTGGACTGAGCCTGCAGAGGCACCCTCCACATGACTAGAGCAGGGTTTGGGCTTAAGCCCAACCCAGCAGAGGGAGAACTCTACTATTCTCTCAAAGGAGCTTCTAGATGCTTCCATGACCTCATTGAAGGGCCAGGGACAGAAATAAAACTCTATGCAAAAAAGTATAGCAGGGGAAAAACAGGTTTTATTATATATGGGGCCAAGAAAAATTTCAGGATCATATTTCCATGGAGTGGAACAGTGTGACTGCCTATGCGAGTCCGCAGTAGTGTGAATGTCAGCATGAATCATCAGATTCTAGACTGTGATTTTGTGCTGGGTAAAGACACTTGGATTTGTTCCTTTGCAAATTAGATTATACATTCCTTGAGAGCAGCGAGATCTTTATACTCATAACAGTTTCCATGAACTTAGAAGTCACAGTGACCTGTGGAAATTTAGGCCACATCACGTCTGCTTTCTGCTCAAAATCTGCACAGGCTGCTCTTTCTCTCCGACCGTGGCCCACTGGGCCCTGTGCGATCTGGCCCCGTTCCTCTCTGAGCTCCTCATCCTGCCTGCTCCCTTCCTCAAACACTGAGCCCTTCCCTGCCCGTGGAAGGTGCCAGCACTCTCCCCTCGAGCCTTTCTCTGAGCTGCTTCCTCTCAGCTGTGCGCCTGGTCTCCTCCTTCACTGCCTTCAGGTCGCCTCCCAGGGAGGCCTTTCCTCGCCACCCCATTGATGCGGACTCAGTACCTGCCCTCTGCACCTGCTCCACCGGTGTAGTTCACCAGAGCGTCTATCTCCGTCCAGTATCCTGTGCTGTTTACTTGTTTGTTTGCGTATCATCTGCCTGCCTCTCTAGAATGTCAGCTCCACGGGGGCAGAACTTTCGATCTGTCCTGTTCACTGATCTAGCCCCAGTGCCTGAAACAGAGTGAGGCGCATAGTACGCGCTCCATGGAAAGTGTTGCGTGGACAAAGGTGGAATCACACTGCGTGGTTCGGGGGCCCTCACCCCTGCCAGGCCACACGTGGCTGCCAGGCTGCCTTCTTCATGGGCACATCCGATGATAACGTACCCGAGAACCCGCAGTGGCCACCCACGATCATTTTAACCACAGCATCATCACCCTCGGTCTGGCTCCGTGCCATCTCTGCAGCTGCGTGGCTCACTGCTGCCCAACACAAACCCCATGCCATGGGCAAAAGGAGCACAGCTCTGTACCTACACGTTCCTTGACTTTCCCTCTCATCTGCCCTCATCAGGATGGAATGTCTTGTGTGGCGTGTCTTCTCTCCACTTGTCCCTGCTAGAATCCCAGGGTCTTCCCAGGACAGGTCACATGCCCCTCTCCTGGACCTCTTCCCTATCCCCCACTCCATGGAGGCCCCTCCCTCTCTCATCCTCACTGAGTTAGGGTCAGGGTTAACACTTATCACAGCTCCCCTATGGGGCTGGGAGCCACCAAGGCCAGGGACCACAGGGTACCATCTTTGTAACCCTGAAGTCCACGGCCTGGGTCCTTGCCCTTTAGAGGGTGCACAGAACAAGGAATGCATTATGTGTAAAGTAAGTGAGGAGAGAAAACGTTTCACCTTAAAAGGCACTGGCAGTAGTTTGGGCCTGAACTGGCAGGCTGGGAAGGTCAGAATTTCAAACTTCACTTGAGGTGAAGATTGCAACTCCAGTGGTGCTTATGAGTCACTGACGGTTCTACTACCTGGTGAGTCACACACGGACAATTGACCGGAGGGTGGTGGGTTACAAAATGGGGTCGAAACAGTGGGCTTTGTCCCTGGGCGAGTCAGTTAGCTCTGCACTGAGAAAGTGAGAGCCAGTGGTCACTGTCTTCCTGCGTTGCCCCAGCCACTTCCAAAGGGCCTGCTGGGAGTCCCAGGTCTCACCCCAGTCGTGGCACAACCGCAACATGGGGGAACACTCATTTAGGAAAAGCCTGAGCAAGTTTTATCAGCAAACAGAAGCACCCTAGCTGAGCAGTGACTTCATCATAGAGAGTTGTGAGGTTGGAAAAATCTTAATCTTTTGACCACATGAAATCCTGATACTACAAAATAGCTCTTACATTTTGGAATTCTGTTAAACACATTGACTAACCCTATATGAGGTGGGATTATAAGGTAACAGGACTGTGGTCCCAATGAATATAGCAGAACTCATATTCACAGGTATAAAATTTAAGCATTTCATATCTAAATGCCTTTGACATAGTCATTTTAGGAGCTTAGATGTCGGCTCAAGAGATCTTGGGGAATCTCTTTAAAATTGGCTAATTTCAGTGGTGGTGAGCACAACATTTTGACGACAACAGCTCAAACTGGAATAAGCGTGTGGCCTTCTGCGTGGACAACGTCTAGAGATAACATTTACTTGGGTGAGTGAGTTCTGGTGTGATTTTTCAGGAACCAGCCTCATTATAATCTCAGGCATTAGATTTCACTAAGTTCTTCACACTCCATTGATAACAGACACTCCACAGGGAGAGTCTGCCCTCATAGAACCTACGTGCTTCTAGTAGGCTGTCCGTGGCAGGACACACTTTCCAAAGTTGGCTGCAAGGACATCCCCCATCCCAAATGCTCTTCTGCAATGTGACCTTGCTCTTCCTCCACCCAGAGGCAGAATCAAATTCTCTTCCCCTTGAATCTGGGCCTGGCCTTAGTAACTTGCTTGGCCAATAGAACGTAGCAGGAGTCACATGCTGGGACTTTGAGGCCACAGGCAGTCTCCCTCTTCCTGCCTGGGGCTCTTAGGAAGCTCGCTCTTGGGACCCTCCCTCTCAGAATGCATTCGCCATGCTGTGAAAAAAAACCAATCCCCATGGCCATGTATGGGTGCTCAGGTCACCAGCCCTAGCTGAGCTCCCAGCCCACAGCGAGGGACAATTGCCAGCCACATGAGCGTACCATCTTGGGCTCATGGAACCTTCAGAGGACAACAGCCCCAGCTGACCCCAGACTGCAACCAACATGAGAGAACCCAAGAGAGAATCAACGAGCTGAGCCTCGTCAACCCCCAGAACTTGGAGGAACTGATACATTATTGTTTCAAGGCACCCAATTGTGTCGTAGTCTGTTACACAGCAATAGGTAACGGGAACAGTATTTGAGACCTACTTACCGAGCAAATTCGATGCCAAACGCTGTCCGAGTCTCTGTTCCTCCTCTCTGCTCGATGTGGCTGGCAGCCTCCACCACATCTTTTACAGACCTGTAGTCATTGAGATGAAACTCATGTACCACGTCTTCTCCGTACTGAACAACTCCAACCTGCGATTTAGAGGAGAGGGCAACAGAACATCGTGACCCCCTGAAGCTTAGACCTTTGGTGGTAGGACCCTGGGAGTTGCCTCTCTGTCTGTGACGGATGATTCGGGAGTGAGGCGGGCTGAGGACCTTCCCAAGACTGACTGCAGCTGAAGGGAAGCGGATGGCTTGGTGGGATAGGTCGGGGGGTTGGGGGGTGGTGCGTACAGCGAAAGGAGACTTTGTGACTTAAAGAGAGGCCCAACAATTACGTTTCTTTCTTAGAAAGACAAAAGTTCAGCATAGAGTCAAAATCTGAAATATTAGGACCGATGTGGGTGGAAACCCGTGAATCTGAGGTTCCTTAAAACCTGGAAGAGAAGAGCTTCTTTTATCTCTGAGGTTGATAAAATATTGACAATATTAAAGCTTCAAAATAAACAAAAACCCTTCAAGACCTATAGTAGGAGCAGAACAATGAAACATTACTGTGGTATGGGCCCACAAAGGTTGTTTGGTACGAATTCCCTTCTAATGCTGGACTCTCAACCCGATACCCTAAAGGATGGTCTTCCAGTGGTGGGGAACTTGTTAGTTCACGAGAACCTTCGCTCCTTTTTTAACAGCTCTAATTGTTCCAAATCATTTCTTAGATTGACTTGAAATCTGCCATCTTATAAATTCTATCCATTGGTCCTTGTTCAACCAAAACAATAGGGAATAAACCTACCCCCTCCTTAGCCAGGCAGCATTTCAAAATGAGCTGGCAGCTCTTACCTCCTCTCCTCTGTCTTCTCTCCAAGGTCAATACGCCTAATTCTCCCTGTGCCTCACCAAGAGGGCTCGCGGGGCCGCTCAGCCGCTCCTGCCTTCCTTCTCTCCCTCTGGCTGGTCACAGTCTTTGCAGGTGGTGTCTCTTCCAGAAGCCAGAGTTTGACCCATGAAGTGAGGTCTCCCCTAAACTGTCCCTTGCTGTGCTCACCAGAGGTGGGTGTCCTGGGCTGCAGGCCCCAGTATTGGCTTCCCCCATATCTGTTTCACCCACACCTCCTTAGTGCACGCAAAGATGTTCCCTCACGCCCCAGGGCAGCATCTGTCGGGGTTTGGGGGCGCTGCTCACAGGAGGACGGACAGAGCCCCAGAGACGCTCACCTGGATCTGGCCCGGGCCGATGTAAAACTTCTTCAGGATGTTGATGAGGAAGTGCTGCACCTCCACCCAGGGGTAGATGCTGTTGGAGCCATCCAGGACAATGACGATGTCCATGTAGGTCTGGCACCCTGGGAAGTGGGGTCACGGTTATGGCTACCCAAGGGGCCAGCGTCTGCAAGTCTCTGATTCTCCAAACAGTTGTTCAGAGGATGACAGAAGAATGACTCTGCCACATGCGTGTCATTGCTGGTGCTGGGGAGCTGTCCTTGGGCCGGACATTTATTTGGGCAACATGAATGACAAGCCCAGGAATTCCTGGCTCTGTTCTGCCGGCTGTTTGAACAGAGCTTAAATTCAGCCTGACCCTCTCTGCTCCTGGGCAGGGACTGACCTGACCCCCGCTGACTGGCCGATGCTTCTGAGGTGGCCAACGCTGCCCAAATCGGTCATTTCACCGTCACGGGCAGGCTGGCACTGCCACTTTC